TTACTATTCTTGATGCTATTGTAAATGTGATTGTTTTCTTAATTTCTTTTTCTATATTTCATCGTTAAAATATAGAAACACAACTGATTTTTGAAGGTTGATTTTGTATCCTGCAAATTCACTGAATTCATTTATCAGTTCTAATAGTTTTTTGATAGAACTTTAGAGTTTTATATATAAAATCATGTCTCTGCAAACAGAGACAATTTTACTTCTTCATATCCTAATTTGGATACCTTTTATTTCTTTTTCTTGGCTTATTGCTCTGGCTAGGGCTTCCAGCACTACGTTGAATAGAAATGTCAGGAGTGAGCATCCTTGTCTTGTTTTTTATCTCAAAGGAAAAGCTTTCAGGTTTTCATTGTTGAATATGATGTTGCCTGTGGGCTTGCCATATATAGCCTTTATTATGTTGAGGTACATTCCTCTGTACCTAATTTGTTGAGAGTTTTATCATGAATGGATGTTGAATTTTGTCAAAGGCTTTTTCTGCATCTATTAGATGATCATGTGTTTTTTATCCTTCATTCTGTTAATGTGGCTTATCACTTTGATCGATTTGCATATGGTGAATCATCCCTGAAATATCCCACTTGATCATGATGTAAGATCCTTTTAATGTGCTGTTGAATTCAGTTTGCTAGTATTTTGTTCAGGGGAGAAACATTGGAAAATTCACAAATGTGTGTAAGTTAAATGACACATTCTTGAACAACCAATCATTCAAAGGGGAAATCAAAGGGAAATTGAAGAATCTTAAGACAAATGAAAATAAATGGAAACACAACATACCATCGTGGAACATGGCCTGTCTTTTCTGCACTTGTTTCCCTGGTCCTCATCCTGGACCTCACAGAATAGTGCTCAGTAAGATATGTTGAGCTTGAGTGAGCTGCAAACCAGATGAGATGTGTGCAAGAAATACAAACCAACATGGCAGAGTGAGAGTAAGAGCAGAAGCCCTGGTTCCAGTCCTAGGTGCTGCCGTGCACAGCGCTGGACGCTGGGATGACCAGTGACCTTCTCCAGCCCTCCTCTTCCTCATGAGCAGCATTAAGGTCAGGATGAAATGTATGCCTACCTTCAGTTAGAAACTGTGTTTTTGCTCAATTATTGCATTCATACAGTCTTCCAAGTGATGCACAAGGCACAGGGGATACAAAAGTAAATTAAGCAGGCTTCTGACCTGGAGAACACAGTCCTCTTCCATCCGTAGTGCTCCGTGTCAAGTACAGCAATGGTTACGTTTTTGTGTTAACTGGGCTAAGGGATGCCCAGATGGCTGCTAAAACACTATTTCTGGCTGTGTCTCTGAGGGTGCTGCTGGAAGAGGTTAGGATTTGATTTAGTAGATCGAGTGAAGAGATTTGCCTTCATCAACATGGGTGGATGTCATCCAATTCATTGAGAACCTGAATAAAACAGAAAGGCATAAAAAGGATGGATTTGCTTTCTTTCTTCTTGGGCTCAGACATCAGAGCTCCTGGTTCTCAGGCTTCCATCTCTGTCTGGGAGCTACACCATCATCTCCCCTGGTACTCAGGTTCTCAGACTTGGCCTGGGGAACACTGACTAGAGAACACTGATTGGGATTATGTCAAATCTGTGGATGAATTTGGAGAGAATTGACATTTAAGCCATATTGAGTCTTCAGCTCCATTAATATGGTGTATCTCTTCATATATTTGGTCCTTCTTTAATTTTTCTCAACAATATATTATAGTTGGATGCATATAAGTCTTGTACATCTTTGATTAGATTTATTCTTGATTATTTCAGACCTTATGCTATTGTAAATTATATTTTAAAATTTTAATTTCTGATTGTTTTGTTGCAAATGTATAGAAATGCAGATGATTTTTTTCTATCTTGATCTTAACTACAGCCATGATAACTATACTTATTAGTTCTAGTAGCTTTTTTGTGGATTTTACCAACTTTTCTTCCACAGACAATCATGTTATCTTTATATTTAATATTTAATTTAATATTTATCTACTGTTTGACCCATATGTTCTTTGCTCCCTTTATCTATTTCTTTTTCCATTTTAATTTGGATTGAATAATTTATGTGATTCCATTTTATCTCCTTGTTTTGACTTATTTGCTATAACTGGTGTGTGATATTTCACTGGTTATCTTGAGGGTATTTAATCATCTTTAATTTATCACAGTCTACCTTCAAGGGATATTTTCCCACTCTATGTGTAGTTAAGAAACTTAGGGGGCCGAGTGGTTAAATTCGCATGCTCCGCTTCGGTGGCCCAGGGTTTCACCGGTTCAGATCCTGGGCACAGACATGGCACCACTCATTAGGGCACGTTGAGGTGGTGTCCCACATGCCACAACTAGAAGGACCCACAACTAGAATATACAGCTATGTACTGGGGGGATTTGGAGGGCAAAAGCAGAAAAAGAAAAAAGATTGGCAGCAGTTCTTAGCTCAGATGCAAATCTTAAAAAAAAAAAAAGAAGAAGAAGAAGAAGCTTAGAATAGAATATTTTTATCTCTTTCCTCCTGGGATTTGTGCTTTTATTGTCACACTTTGTGTTTATGTAACATACATAGAACATGTTATAAACCTCAAAATACATGGTTAGTACTTTTTATTTGGTCAGTTATACTTTCAATGGGTTTTGCAATACTGAAATGTTTCTGTAATTTACCATGTGGTAGCCCTTTACAATCTTCCTTTGCGCGTGTGCAGATCTCAAATTCCGTCCGGCAGCACTTCCTCGACCTTGAAGAATTTCCTCTTATGTTTCTTGTAGCGCGAGTCTCTTGGTGATAAATTCTTTCAGCTTTTGTTTACCAGAACAAAAGGCTTATTTTACTTTCACTTTTCAAAGATATCTTTCTGGGCAAGAATTCTGTTGTCAGTGGGTTTTTTTTCTTTCAATACTTTAAAGTTGCCACCCCGATGTCTTCTGGCTCACTTTGCATCTGATGAGAAATCTCCTTTCACCTTTATCTTTGTTTGTATGTGTAATGAATCTTTTTCCTCTGGCTGCTTTCAATATTTTTTATTTATTCATGCTCTTAAGCTACTTTTAAATGATGTATCTTAGTTTATTTTCTTTCTGTTTCTTGTGTTTGAGTTTTATTGAGTTCCATAGATTCTAGGTCTATAGTTTTCACCAAATTTGGAAAATTTTATCTATGACATTTTTGGTCCCCTGCCCTCCCCTTTCAGGAACTCCCATATTTTGATGGCTTAAAGTTTTCCTACATCTCAGTGATACTCTTTTTTTTATTAAAGATTTTATTTTTTTCCTTTTTCTCCCCAAAGCTCCCCAGTACATAGTTGTATATTCTTCATTGTGGGTCCTTCTAGTTGTGGCATGTGGGATGCCGCCTCAGCGTGGTCTGATGAGCAGTGCCATGTCCGTGCCCAGGATTCGAACCAACGAAACACTGGGCCACCTGCAGCGGAGCGCGTGAACTTACCCACTCAGCCACGGGGCCAGCCCCATCAGTGATACTCTTTTAATCTTTAATTTCAGTTTGTTTCCCCTCCCCTTGCCCCCTGTGATTTGTTTTGGCTAGTTTTACACTGCCAGGTATTCAGGTTCACTAATCTTTTCTTCCGTCAAGCTTAATCTGTCATTAATCCCATTTAATGTATTTTCCCTCCTCAAAAATTATAGTTTTATCTCTAAAAGTTCAATCTGATTCTTTTTAATATGTTCCATTTCTCTACAAAAAAATGTTCAACCCTTCCTCTTGCTTCTTGAACATATGGAATTCAGTCATAATAACTGTTTTAATATCTTCACCTGTGAATTCTATCATCTATATCATTTTTGGAAAACTCTTGCTTTATTGATTTTTCTCCCCTTGACTGGTCATGAATTCCTGTTTCTTTGTACGCCTGGTGATATTTTAATTATATCTGGACTTTGTGGATTTCACCTTGTTGGACGCTGGATATTTTTCTGCTCCTTTGCATGTTTTTGAGCTTTGGTCTGGAACAAGATTAGTGTTTGGAAACAGTTTTATTTTTTGTGTGTTCTCACTTTTAAGCTTTTTTAGGTAGAACTGGAGTGGTAATTAGTCTAGGATTAATTTTTCCCACTATTGAGGCAAAATTATTTTAGGTTCTGTATCAGATGGCTCTTGAATTTTGTGGTTTGTTCCACTGGCTGTGGGGAACAGACAGAATCCCAGTCCTGGGAGAGCCCCAAGCCCTGGAGCCTAGTTCTAACTCTAACCCTAGCCCTGACCTAAGTCTGTGGGAGCCTCTCTGTCTCCTGAGTCATTCCATCCTGGCCTCAGATGTTTCCTCACAGAGAATATTGGCCAGTCTTGAGCTCACTACATGAGTGGCAGCCTCTGCAGACCTGCAGCCTTCTCTCCACTTAGTTCCCTCCCAGGAGCTGAGGAACGTGAGCCCTGCTGCATGCCCAGCTCCGCCTGGGCTCCCACCCCTGCATCTGGGCCTGGAAACTCTCCTGGCAGAGACCTGGGGGCAATTATAGGGCTCGGCTCATTGTTTTCTCATATCCCAGTGATCTTTGCCATTTGTGTCCAAATGCCCAGTGATTCAAAACTACTGTTTCACTTTTGTTTTTTTAAGTTATTTTCAAGATGGGAGAGCAAACCCAGTCCCCATTGCTCCATCTTCGCCATCAATGGAAGTCTGTTTTTGTTTATGCTAAAAAATTCTCACATTTTAGCTAATCATGTCAATGTTCACCATATTATAGGTATTACAATAATATTGGTTTCATTAAGTCCCGTTCTTATTCTAAGGAGACTGACTTAAAAATAAATCCCTTGGTTAATTAAGGAGGAATCTGTTTAGAATAAACATTAACCAAAGTCAAATTTTTTTAAAAAATTAATTTTTTTAGTGTTCTTGAATATCTCCCAACTGCATCAAAATTCACGTTTTGAAAATTATATTTGTTCATAAAACTTTTTGAGAAGTCACTATTCTCACATCTTTCCGTAAAGCCCTAACTGGACGAGGTCTGGACTCTCCTGTGCTTCTGTGTAGGCGGCACGGCCACCAGGCAGAGAGGGTTTCTGGGATGCATTCGGTCTCTGCAGTTGAACGGAGAGACGCTGGACCTCGAGGAAAGAGCCAAGGTCACTCCAGGAGTGGAGCCCGGCTGCCCAGGACATTGCAGCACCTACGGACACTTGTGTCACAATGGAGGGCGATGTCGAGAGAAGCCCCGTGGATTCTCCTGTGACTGTGAGCTCTCGGCATTCACAGGGCCCTTCTGCTCACACGGTGAGTACGAACGAGGAATGTGACCAGTAGGAATGAGTGGGCTTGTGTTGGATATTTAAAAATCGAATTAAACCCTTTCTGTGTAGCTGTTGGATAGAAGTATTTCAGTTCCTAAATTCCTTTTGTAAATCACTCTTTTACAACCAATCTTATTTTACTAGAAAGAAATGTGACTCTACTCTTGAAAAGCCAGTGGCTACACTGTAGAATCCACCATCGGTTCTGTGATTTTCTTGAAATACCATCCATGCATTCTAACTCTTTCTAGCTGGTGCCTATGTTCTCAGAAAATATGTTATTAAAAATCTGCCCTACACAGTCCTTGCTTATTTAAATATCACTTTAGGTGTCATTTTTATTTAAAGTAATAGCTTCCAGTAGTACAAGAAGAATTTTCTTCCCAAAATATATTTTATTGGCATAATAAACACATTTTCCATTATATTAAGATGGCTAAAACACAGCCACTTAAACATATTGCTCTGGGGCTTGTTGATTATCTCTTGCAACAATAAAAGTGATAGAATATTTTTTAGTCTCTCTTATTCTGAGAAGTCACAAGCCATGCTTTGAAATGAAGAGCTGATTGTAGCATGGACATAATTCTTGGAAAGTACTTACAAGTTTTATACTTTCGTAGATATTCACGGAAAACTGCATCATCAAAATAAATTCCAATGCCTTCATTCAGGAATCTCTGGGTTGTTGCATTTTGACCTTAAAAACCCACTGGGTTTTGGGGTACAAACTTGGATACCAAAATTGGATTTTCAAAAGAATTAACTGCCCAGAAATGTTCAGGACACCATTATATAAGCTATATTTGAAGATAAATCTGTGATGGTAAATCAAGTCTTCCATCACCATTCCAAGACACTTTTCACCTACAGAGGTCAAATCCAACTGGAAACTTCTAGTCATGTGGACAGAGTGAAGTGGCCATGCAAACCCTCCCTCCCAGCGTCCCAGGGTAGCAGAACAGCTGTAACTGAGGGGGAGAGCATTGGAAGCAAGGAAACCGCAAAATGAACAAGTCCTTGAATTTGAATGTGGCCTCTGCCCAAATCCTTGCCTGACTCCCAAGTTGTACAGACTCGGGAAGACTTCAGAGGCAGGTACAACAGCAAAGAGATGAGCAGACTCATACCATGGGACACACAGGACTGAAGCTGGAGTGCAGACGTGGTAGCCATCCACTACAACAAACAAATAAACACAACCACCACAAAAGAATGAACAATAACAACACATGGAGTTAAAAATATTTACCAGGAGTTATCTATAATGTCCAATTTTCAATAAAATATAGTAAATATGTAAAAAATCAAGGAATTGTGTTCCATACTCAGGGAAAAAATGCAGTTAAAAATTCACTCTGAGTAGGTCTGTTTTTTGCTTTCAGCAGACAATGGCATTCAGTAGTTATCACAATACATTCAATCAAAGAAAATAAAATTCAGAGAAACAAAGAAAATAGACAATCAATGAATAAACAGATATGAAACTTCAGCAGAACAATGAAAATCATATTAAGAAACAGAGCTGAAAAATACAGTTATAGAAAATTTAAAAATGCTTACTAGATGAGCTCAACAGAAGAAAGAATCAGTGAACTTGATGATAGGGTGATAAAAATCACCCCTCTGAAGAACAGAAAGAAAAAAATGAAGGAATTTTGAAGAGTCTGAGAGTCTTCTGTGACAATATCAATAATTAAATACTTTAATTCTAAATAATCCATGAGTCAAGGAAGAATTCATAAACAAAACTAAAAAAAAAAAGATTTTAATTGAAAATAAAATTGCACCATGTTAAGTTGGAGAGATACAGTTAAAGCAATATTTAGGGGGAAATTTTTGACTTTAAATTATTTCATTAGACAATAATATAAGGGTAAAATCAATTATATAAGTTCCCAATTTAGGAATCTAAAAGAAGAATAAAAAGAAATCCAAAGAAAGTAGAAGTAAAGAAATAATAATAAAGGTAGGGCAGAAACTAATGAAATAGAAAATAGAGAAAGAAGAAAATCAGTGTAATCATGAATGAAATAGCATCATGTAACTACATCAATGTAATCAAAAGCTGGTTCATAGAAGAGATCAATAAAATTGATATATGTCTGACTTGAGTCTCAAGAAAAAAGGAAAGAGGACACAAATTACAAATATCAGTAATAAAAGATACCAAAGCAGATGCTACAAAAATTTAAAAGATAACAATGGAATACTATGAACAGCATTATGACAATAAATTTCACAACTTGGGTTAAATGGAAACATTCTTCCAAAGACACAAATTACCAAACTGATACACAATAAATATAAAATCTTCATAAGTTATAACTACTAAAGAAATTGAATTTCTAGTGAAAGGTCTTTCCACCATGAAAATTCCAGGACCAGAAGAATTCACCGGTAATTTCTACAGAACATTTAAGAAAACGATGATACCAGTCTGACACAGGCTATGTAAGAATAGAAAGGTGAACAAAATGTTTCCCAATGTAATTTATGAGCCTACTAATACTCTGATACTAAAATCCAACAAAGACTTTACCAGAAAGAAAACAAAACAAACAAAAACTACAGAAATAAACTCATGAATACTGACAAAAAAATACTTAAAAAATTATTAGCAAATCAAATAAAAAATATAGAAAATAAACACATCATGGATAAGTGGGATTAATCCAAAAGGTACAATGCTGATTTAATTTTCAAAAAAATCTCAAGGAAAGTCACTATATTAACAGAATAAAAAAGAAAAACAGATAAGTGTTTGAATATATACAGAAAACACGTTTGACAATCTAAGAATATAAGGTAGATTTCCCAACTTGTTAAAGGATACCTGACGTCGTATCACTAACATACTTAGTGGTGAAAGGCAGAAAGAGAAAAACAAAGATTTCTACTCCCACCACTTCTTTTCAACATGCTGCAGGGCTTAGCTGATGCAATACAACAAAAACAAAATGAAAGAAATAGCGTGCACACATTAGAAAGATGAAGTAAAACTCTCTTTAGTCATAGAAGATATAATCATCTATATAAACTGTAAAGAATTTACTAAAACCTACTGGAACTAATGAGGGAGTTTAACAGGGTCACAGAATACAAGGTCGATAGACAAAGGTCAACTGAATTTCTATGCCCTACTTACAAACAATTGGGAAAAATTTTTAAATAAAATTCCATTTACAGTAGAATCCAAAAACATGAAATATTTATGGATACATTTAACAAAATAAGTTTAAGACCTCTACACTGAAAACTACAAAAGAAATTAACATCTAAACAAATGGATGCATGTACCACATTGATGAACTGGATCACTACCATTACTACTGTATCATTTATCCCCAAACTGATCTATAGATTCAGCACTCCAACTAAAATTTCAGCAGAATTGGCAAGGTAATCCTAAATTTTATATGGAAATGGAAATGGCTTTGAATTTCCAAAATACTTCAAAAAGAATAACTTAGCAATGGAAAAGAATAGAGAATCCATAAATGAATATATATATATATGCAACTTTATGCTTAACCCACACATATACAAATGCTAACTTGAGCTGAGCAACAGACATAAATGTAAAAGCGAAAATTATAAAAATTCTAGTAGAAACATAGAAGAACATATTTGTCACCTTGGAGTAGGCAAAAATTTCTTGGGACACAAAATCATGAATAATAACAAATTGAAATTCATCAAAATTAGTGACTTTTACTCTTCAAAAATATTATTAAGAAATGACTATTTAAAATGACATAACATAGATCTGTCAAAAACTTGTATCTAGAATATACAAATAACTTTTACAGCCCAATAATAAGACAGACAACCAAAAGGAAAAACAGGCAATGATTTGAAGAGACACATCACAGGAGAAGAGATATAAATGGTGATTAAGCACAAAAATATATGCTCAGCATCATCAGTCATGAGGAATATGCAAATTACACCCATAATTATACACCACTACACAGGCCCTGGGATGGTTAAAATTAAAATGACTGACACTACCAGGGCCGGCCTGGTGGCACAGTGGTTAAGTGCACACGTTCTGCTTCGGTGGCCCGGGGTTCGCCGGTTCTGATCCCGGGTGCGGATATGGCACTGCTTAGCAAGCCATGCTGTGGCAGGCGTCCCACATATAAAGTAGAGGAAGACGAGCATGGACGTTAGCTCAGGGCCAAAATTCCACAGCAAAAAGAGGAGGATTGGCAGCAGATGTTAGCTCAGGACTAATCTTCCTCAAAAAAAAAAAAAAGGACTGACACTACCAAGTGCTAGAACTGGCATTCCAATTCACTCCTGGTCTGAGTGTAAAATGACACGATCACTTTAGGAAACTCTTCGGGAGTTTCTCTTACATACACATTCATGCAGTCATCACGTGATCTAACTATCGTAGGTATTTACCCAAGTATGTGAATTTCAGGTTCACCCAAAGATTTGTACACAAATGCCCATGGCAGATTGATTCATAATATCCCCAAACTATAAACAACCCAAATGTTGATCGATAGTTGGGTGGGTAAACAAACTGTGATGCATCCATAGAATGCAATGCTGCTCTTCAACATCGTGGCTGAATTTAAAAATCCTTATTCTGAGTGAAAGAAGTCAGACAAAAAAAAAGACAGAATGTGTGATTCCATTTACATGAAATTCCAGAAAATGCCAAGTAATTTAGAGGAACAGAAGGCAAATCAGTGGTTGCCTGAGCATGGGGTGTAAAGAGGCAGTCGACTGCCAAGAAGCAGAAAGGGGCAGAAGAAAATTGGAAATGTTCTGAACATTGGCGGTGGTAGTTATTTCATGGGTGTGCTCATCTCTCAAATTTTATACCTTAAATGGGTGTGTTTATCGTACCTAGTTATACCTCAGTGAAGTCCATTAAAAAGGTATTTTTCTTCTCCTGGATGGCTCCGTATCCACCTCCATTAAGTGTGATCTGAGTGTTTTAATTCAGGCAAACATTCCATGAGAAGTTGATGTTGTGGGTGATGAGGAAAAAACTCTGGTTGGTCAGAGGGCAGTGGGTTTGCAGGGAGGTCACTCAATGTCCATGCCCACTGGGCATGGATCTGCTGAAGCGATGGAGACAAGCAGAGGCACAGTGGCTGGACTGCCTATGCTCTCCCCTCATCCTCGTGCGCACACACATCTGGAGATTCATCTTGTGTAAATGCCAGTGAGACACTCTTGTGAACTGATTTAGGAAGAACATGGACAGCCTTCTGGCCCCTGCCGCTCAAATGACCACTTCCCACTCTCAAATTCACGGAGATGCCTCAGCGCAGCTTCCTTTTCCAGTGAGCAGTAAATTAAGCAGAGGACTAGCACACTGGACATCTGTCTGTGGGTCTTTGAAGGGCAAGGGACCCTCCATCTCCATCCTTCATCACTCTTAGGTGAGATTGCTACCTGTGAAGCAAAAGACTGACACTGATGAAAACATCAGGAAGGAGCCAGGAGATGGAGCAGGTACCTTGTTCTGCTTGAAACCAGACAGCAGTGCACTGAGCTTTACTGAGGACTGAGCGTATGTGGTTCTAACACCAAGATCTATTGAGGACTGTCCTGAGTCCCAACAACTCACTGTGCTCTTCCCTTCCGAGATATGCAAGTCCTTGTTACATCCTTCTCCACTCTCTCATCTATGAAAATGTTCTGAAAATTAAAAGACTTTGAATGTCCACAGGGATACCTAAAATTAACACTTAATCTTTTATAACTTAAAAATTGCATATCATATCATTTCAGAGATTTCTGCCTACTTTGGACCTGGGTCCTCCGTGACTTACAATTTTCACGAATATTATCCGTTAAGTACAAACTCCAGCCCTCACGCTGCTTCGTTCCAGGGGGACGTGACACTAACCAGAGAGCTGATCACATTCAGCTTCCTCACAGCACAAACCCCGAGCCTGCTGCTCTATGTGGACTCCTTCTATGAGGAATACCTGTCAGTTATCCTTGCCAGAAATGGTGAGTGTTGTTTCAGGGTCGGAAAATTACAACGCATCACTAGAACTGTATGTGTGAAGTTTTGAGTGTTCAAGCCTCTCACACTGCAAACAAGAGACAAGTTGCAGGCTCTCCAAATGCCATTTTGTTTGTGTTTGTTTTATTTTCCAGGACTACAAAAATATTGTTGCAAAGATACCATTCCAGTAATTACACTGAGATTCTTTCTTCTAGAAAATTTTTTATAAATTTGCATGTCTCAGGTAAACAGGAATTTTATTATCACTGGAAGCTCTTTATTAGAAGTAAAAGGTGTTCAGTTACATGTGGAAAATGTTTCCTCCTCTTTCTAAGTAAAGGGGGGAATAATTAGGTGGGTGCTAACACACTAAGGCGGTGCAGAAATGACTGTCCACACCCACGAGATAAACATTGTTTTTACTCTGTCCATGGTCCTGAAGTGAATTAGCCCATAGGCACTCGAAGATGGAAAGCACAATTACAGCCATCAGCCAGCTCCCGTTTTTCCATGGTGGGGAAGTAAGGAAGGGCTTTGGGCATTGTAAGTGAAAAGTGAGGGCACTAATTATATGTCTGGGAAAACTTGCAAAACTTTCTGGCTAACAAGGTTTTAGCACAGCCCCTGTGACAGAGCGTGAGGGTGCCTCTCTGTGGAGCAGCTCAAGCTGAGCCAGATGTGGATATGCACAGATCTTACATCCTGGAAAAAGTATATCACTGTATCCCACTTCTGAATTTTCTTGTTATGGATGCAGATTTTAGAAATAGAACCTCTGGTGTGTGAATAAACAAACCAACATACTGTAAGCCATTTCAAATACGACTCCAGGGACTTTGATATCCAAAGTATACATAGGAGTGTTAAGTAGGAATATTTAGCCTTAGTTGTAGATTTAAAGTTGTAAGCCAACAAACGGTAGGAGCATTTCATTGACACGTTGGATGTTACCATGGGAAGTGCAGTGACTCATCAGCCAGTATATAAGCAAGGAAAACTCATTCTAGAGGTACACTTTGTTGAGATGCACTTCCCCCTGGCCAGCATTTAAAATCTGAGCCATCACCAACTAGAATTATCTTCATGGTCCCTCGAGCCTCTGATAGCCATTGGCAGCCCAACAATTCCCAGAGCCTACTGAACTTTCTTTTTATTATTCATCTTTCAGAATTTGGGAAATATATTCAAAGAAGACAAGACTAAAAAAAAAAAAGAAATAATTTCAGTATTTCACAAAGCTTCAGCTTCAGCATTTCTTAATGTTCTTTTTGCAAAGATGGAGTGGAATTTAGATTTGGGATGTCTTCAATTCAGATGTTTTCTTTTAGAGAATTGAGGGTTGTAGGAAAGAGAGTTCTTATTAACAACAACTCTGGTCTTGACCGTGCAGTGGCATGAGTAGAGCGGGAGGTGGGACCAGGGGTGACACTAAAGAAGCAGTCATCGTTCCAGGGAAAGTGATAATTAAGAAAATAACAGTGCATCCAAATGCACCGTGTCAAGTAAATTCCAACAGCAAACTTTTGCTCCTGGAAATGAGTGAACAAGAATAACTCTCTGGATTATGGAAAAGCAGTTTAAAACATTCTGTTGTTTAAAAAATGTTATTCTTTCTACCTTAGGGAGTTTGCAGATTAGGTACAAGCTAGATTTACATCAAGATCCTGATGTTTTTAACTTTAATTTCAAGAACATGGCTGACGGGCAGCTTCACCGCGTGAAGATTAGCAGAGAGGAAGGAGTGGTCTTTGTAGAGGTAACAGCGTGTCCAACCAAGCAATAGCTAAAGTCATAATTCCCCAGTATGTGTCACCTAAAGCAGTATTTTGATAATGAAGCATAATACAAGTTCCTTTTTCTATTCTATTCTCTCATGTGTTGTGGACAAGAAATCAAATGTGGTCTGGCATTTTTGCCCATTTGTTTAGTAATGGGAATCTGCCAAATAGAGTATAAAATTTTGCCTACTTAAATTTTCCCTCATTCATTTTAATTTAATTACTAGAGAAATATTGTCTATTTTATCATGGTGAATTACAGGCAGAATTTTTTTAATGATTCTCCAATGTGAATCCATGAATACAAACGTGATGACAAGTTAAAGAGATGATTCGTATAAAATATGATTATGATTAAAATTTGCAAAACTAACAAAATAGACAAGTCATTGGAGAGTAAGTGACATTATGCACTGTCAATACTTTTGAAGAAAAAATATTGGTGTGTTTGCTCTCTACACGGAATAGCATACTTTGGCTTCACTCTTCAGGTTTTATTTTGAGATTTGTAAAAGCTTTGGGCTGGGAAAGTCTTTCACAACTTTTTTGTGGGTTCTAATGATTAGAGATCATTCCTACTGTATCAGGAAGTAATAAGAACTAGGCAGAAAAATATGGGAGGGTTAGGGCTGGGCTGTGAGTGAAGGGTATCTGAGATAGTATAAAATTAGTTATGAACTAGTATTCTACCGTTGAAATGGTAAATGCCGCCCAACCAGGCTTTTCCATCCTGGGCAGCACTAGGTTCTTTTTCTGTGATCATTTTTGTCCCATCGCCTCCCTTTGCTTCCCACCCTGTTACTGACCAATAACAAACGTGTTTGTGTTTGCTTCTCACGGGGCAGGTGAACCAGAAATCCCGGAGACAAGTGAGTCTGTCCTCGGGCACGGAATTCAACGCTGTCAAATCCCTGGTGCTGGGCAAGATTTTAGGCAAGTAGACACAGAGACCCCACCCCTCGCCCCCACCTCGGGTCACAAAGTCACACTGCCAACACAAAAACAAGTTCCTGTTTTATTTTCATTACACCGCTCATGCCAATCAGGGCAGAAATCACGCTGTGTTCAGAGTGCACCCATAATCATGAGAAACAAGTGCACGCCTCTAAAGATAGAGCCACACTTCTTCCCTCCTTCAGCAATCAGCACCAGGATCACAGCGATTTTCTTACCACAGAGAAGAGCAGTGATCAAAACAGACACAAAGTTCACAGATGACGCGTTAAACAGCTGCAGGTCCGGAAACCTCACGAGGACGACGTTTGGAAGGGGACCTGGAAAGAGCACGTGTCTGTTGTCCTTCACTCAGGATGGCACCCTGGGCAGGGATGCGGTCCTGCTTTGCTGCTGTGCACAGAGGTGGCTCTGTGCCCGGTCACCATGTCTGCAAATCAAACTACACATTTCAGTCTGCTCATACCTGTCAATCACCACTGGTCATGGCATGAGCGTAAATGCAGAGCCCGGGCATCCTAGGATCAAATATGCATGCTTGCGTTTCTCCTTGTCTCCCAATATTAAAGTAAAAGCAGGTAAATATCAGAGGGCTTGCTTTTTAGTTATAAATAGACTACAAACTCCATAGATTTTCACGTTACTTTGGGGAGAAGGCTCTTGAGGTTTGTTTCATATTAATGGTCTTGTTTTGGCACTAATGGGATATATTTTATCCAAGGTAATGATTTTTTAATCTTTTCATTTATTGTACCTATATTCCTTAGTCATTCACATTTTTACTCATATAGAAGCTCAAAATCCTGAGTTATCATGCGTAGACACACAGGCAGATGATAAAAATATAAATCACTGAAAAGGATGATAGCTAGGTTTTTAACCCTGCTTATGTTAATGTATTTTCAAACATGATGTTGAGCATTAAAAGTATGCATCCCCTTCTTCAATCAGCATGGGAAATGCTATGAATTATGTTCTACCAGGTTGCTACACTGAATAGAAGAAAAATAATATTTGAAAAGCACTACTTTTGTATTGCAAGTTTAATGGCAAATTCAAAGTGAGCCATATAGTGTTTATATATATGTGATTCCTTTCAGTTAAGCTTGAAATATGTAAGAAGGCAAATTTTGTGTCTATATATAATTTACTTTCAGGATAAATGTGTAAGTAATAACAAAGTTGATTTAAAGTGGTGATTCTGCTTTGGCAAAATGCTTTAACATTTGATTAATACTCTGATGATTTTGTGAGAGATAAATAGATTGCACATTAAGTCCTGCCATGTGATTATCAGTTTTAGTCCCAATTCATACTTAGAGAAACAGTGACTAGCCACTCCCATAAGAAAACAATGGCAACAACAAAAACAAAATAGCTGTTTTGAATTCCAAATGCACAGTTCATCGTCATTGACTGGTTGACCAACATGTGCCGGGGCCTCCGCTGACAGAGGAGAAACCACGTCAGGCAGACGCAGCCCCGGTCTCGTCCTCCATTAAGCTCTACCTTCTGGCCCCAACTCATAGATATTGTTTCTGTCTGAACAAAGTGAGCCGTTGATGATCACAGAGGTGTCCAAGTTCTGCAAGCCGAGGCGAGGCTGCCTCCCCACTGAATCCATGCATCTCATGAATGGAAGGAAGGAGACAGTCTTTCCCAGCAAGCTGACCAAGTCTTCACTGAGAGAACACGTATTGATCAAGTGTCTCCCAGTTCAATAAACTACATCAGGTGCTACGGCAGATGTGGTGTAAAAATATACCAGTTCTGTCCTCGAAGACTCAGAGTCTCGGCTCAAAGATGAAGAATGCACACAAGTAGTTTAACAAAGTTAAAAAGCATTAATCATTATTTAAAAGCCTTGACAAGAGAATATTTTTAAAAACACAACTTAGGTTCAGATGAGATGTCAACATTATTGATGAAAAGGTTCTGTGCAGGAGTGTGCAGTATACTGAGTAACAAACTGAGAAAGTGGACTGCATCGTATGAAGTGTAATGAGTGAATAAAAACGAAGCGTGTAGTTAGTTAACATACGTACATTCCCTTCAATCAATTCTGTAAAGAAGATTAGGATGGAATTGAATGTATTGATGCTTCTCTTGAAGAATTGTATGTTCATTGGTGTGTTATTCAGACTCTAGAAGAACACTGAAGTTCAAGCTGAGCAGTAAATTTTATAGCTGACGCAATTGGGATTCATGAAATTTTAAATAAAACTTCATTTATAATATGCATGGGGGCATGGATTTTGACCAAGTTCTAATGAACTTTCCACGTTTTGGTAGTTTTAAGATTTTTCTCGCCATAAGCCTGATAAAATTTCCAAACCATTTTGCAAGCCCAAGAAAACTGAACCTTCGCGTTCCGGGTTAGAGCACGACATGAAGTGCCTTGTGATCCAGGCGGCCAAGGTCTGCTGAGAAGGGGGTTCCTCGTTCCCAGGTCAACACCGAGCTTAGAAGCCAGCTTTTCTTCCTGGAAGCCTATAGGTTTATGCTCCGCCCATCCCCTCTGACAACGGCTTGTGAGCATCTCCAGGTGGATTCTGAGGCAGAGGCCCTGTCCCGAAGGCCACACCCTCCCGCCTGGAGCCCCTCGTGAGGGGGTGTGGCCAGGGGTGACTCGAGTCGCCAGAGTCTGCACTCTGAGGCTTCAGACAGAACTGTCCAGAGTCCTCACTGATTAAAATGTGTGTTTAAACGTCACCACTCCGAGGGGTCTCCCTTGCTGATGCCTGTTCCAGTTATGTTTTCTCAGATTCCATACAATCATTTCAGAGTAAGACACTTTTAAAGGTAAACTCTTGAGAAATAAGATTTTCTAGTTTTGACTATGACCAAGAATATGTCCCTAAAATATGAGAGCTTTTCAAACACTCTCCCTTAATCACAGAGTTGCAGCTTCTTATTCAGTGGTGACGCTGAGGAACTCTGCATAATCGGGACTCTGTCAATTCTGAATTTTATGGGCTATCAAACCAGTGGAGGACCAAAACATAAATTCTAACAAATAAGCAAACACAACTCCTCTGAACTGAGGGAGGTCTTTCTGGGTTAGAGTTGAAACAATAAGAAAGGAATGCCTGTTCTACTAGAGTGACAGCACAAAGTGGTCACGTTCCAGCCCGCGGATGCTCCGGGTGAGCAGGGGGCCTCCATCGCAGGCACATGGCAGCATGTCAGGGTTCCAGGTGTGAAGGGCTCAGAGCCAGGCGTCCCACTCAGGTGTCTGTGGGAAGATGTCCCGGAACCTGGATCCCGCGTGCTGGGCATGACTCTTATCAGTGCCCATTTAGCTCTTTTTGAAGAAACGTGATAGAGAGGAAAGATACAGGAATGTGGAGCGTTGCAGGATGGATCTGAAACTGTGCACCATGGACAGGAGGGAGCAAAGATATCACCATGCCCATTAACGTCTCCCAGCGGTTGTCAGGCCCCTCATCCTATGGGAAGCCTGGGCAGGAACTCTGGGTCAGCCACACAGACTGCTACCTGCTGGTTGTGGGGCCATCTGCCAGTGACCAGCTCTGTGCTCAGTTACCCACCTGTAAAACGGGATAATGATGCGAAGGGTGCCTCACAGAGCAGTTACAAGAAAAAAATGAGCACTTAGAACAGTGGCTGCTACTTAATATGTAGCATCTGAATTTTCACAATACGAGTAAAAATGGGCTAGATTAGGTCTACGATTGCTCTCAAATATAAAATTCTTAGGTCCTACAACAAAAGCAATCAGCCATTAGAAGCCACTTCAGACAACAGATTTCTTGAGGTTTTCAAAATTATACATCAGAGACTGTCTGCTGACTCTCTCTGGGGTTTTCTCCTTCTAAGTTAAAGATAATGTTATGCTTCTCAGATTTCCCCATTTAATTCCATGTCCATTGGGACATTCGTATTTCTTGAACCTTTTAAGTATAACATATGTAGGGGAAAGTGCAACATTTTTAATGCACAGCTGGAAGAATTTTGACAAAGTGAACACAGATTAACCAAGAAGAGAAAGTGACCAACCCGTAGACACCCCTGTGGGTCCCTCGCCAATGGCAGCCTCTCCCAGCTTTCAGCAGCACAGACACAGCCGGCCCGTTTCTGAACTTCACATGGAAGCATCCTACAGTACATGCTGTTCAGTGTCTGCTTCATTCCTTCCACCTTCGATGCTTGTGAGATGAAGCACTCGCTTTCTTGGTGAGCTTTCTGACTATTTTATTGGGAGGAGAGATCCAGGAACGCAGGGTAGTTTCCCAAGGCTCTGCCTTTGCTGTTGCACCCGCCCCAGAAACGCTCCTCCCAGTGCCCAGGGGAGACGCTCTTCACGCAGCTGTCAATGTCCTGGTATCTGATTATTCCCTTAGCCCTTGGGTTAAAGAATTTATTCTTCAAAAGAGCAGAAGCTGTTCTTTTCATGGAACACACAATTCACACTAATGGATAAGGCAAAGCTGCCTAAAAATCTGAGTGAGGAGGGAGTTTTCACAACCTGAGATTTCAGAAATTTGATTTTCTTCTCAAGAGTTAGAAAATTTTGTTCTTAAGAGAGAGGTTTAAAAACAGTAATGCTTTCATTTGAGACACTCTGACCAGTTCTACTGAAAATCACAAAGCAGAGGAAACCTGTGCCAGCTCATGGTCACCCCACTGCCCGACCCTTCGGGCGATTACCCCAAACCCCCTGCACTCTCTCCCTGGACACCTGCTCCGCTATATTTTGTCCTGAGTCTGATCTCTCAAGAGAGCAAAAGACAGTGAAGGAAAGACGAGGACGAAGCTTCAAGCACTAGCGTGTGCAACCCTCTCCACATTTTTCTAAGGACATATATCTTACAAAAGATGTATAGATATAGAGATATGCAAACACACGTTAATGATGAAAAGAGGTTTACGCTAAAGAAAGCATGAATGGTGCAACTCCAGGCATCCACAGGGAAGACACTCATTTTGGCCTCTTTCCAGCACGATTGTTAGGTCAACCGGGCAGCAAGCAGGTGGGGTGGGGCCGAATCAGCTCCTGTGGGCGGGTCCCCCTGGGCTGGAGGGAGCCTGGGGGAGCACCGAGAAGCCACTGGGGCAGAACCCGCCTCCTGGGGTCGCTGGAGAAGGCCTGTCTGTGGATCCCGGAACCGGCTATCTCCAAGGATCTGGACCAATCTGAGTGTCCGGCAGAGGGGCCTGAGGACAGCCCTGCAGGACACTTGGCCGTCGGGGACGCGTGCTGGGGCAGCATCTACATCCCACGGAAAACAACCCGACGCCCAAGGGACTCACAGTGAGAGGGACGAGTCCCTACAAAGTGAAGCTGTCAGCGGGACAGGAGCGCCCCCATAAAGCCTCATGGAAGGACAGGAGATCTGAGTAAAGTAACAGAAGAACGCGCAGGAACCTCAGCTGAGAGTCAGCAGACGAACCGGAGGAGAGGGGTCCCCGCTGCCGCTGGATTAGAGTGCCCGAAAACGTATGAAACCGCGTCAGAAACCCCGAGAGCTCCAGGAGGATGTGGAGGAGCATCCAGGAGGGGGAGGGGCAGCTGGAACCACGGGAGGAGAGCGAGAGAACTCAGAAGGAGCAGCAGAGCGTTTCTCTGAGCTGAAGCAAACCCCAGTAGTGACAGGGGTCGCCGAGGTCCGCCTGGCTGAGTCACGTCAGATAAAATGCAGGAACTGCCATCGCGGAGAGAACCCTACCGGCCTCCGGTAGAAACAGCGAGTTACAAAGACCAGAGCACGAGGCTGGCGTCCGTCTCCTCTGCAGCGACGCAGGAGGATGCTCTGGGGCACCAAGCAAGTTTCCCCTCCAGCCCTAAGAGAGGAAACCTGATCCATCAATGCAAATCAGAGCCCAGAAGAGGAGAGCAGGAGGAGGGGCCGCAGCGTGAGCTGGGAACGTGTCACCCCTTTAGGAACAAACGCACCCTTATATCCGCTGTCCATCTAAATGGATAATGATAACCTGCTTGGAAACACGATCTATACGCACTAAATAAAGATGCTGAAGTGTTCTCTGCTTCCCACTATCTGCACCCCAATTACTGCATCCCTCTAAGGCGCCTCACTAACCGCGCTCTCCCTCCCGCAGAGCCCGGCGGCCACGTGGACGCGGAGACGGCGCGGGCGGGCGCGCGGGGCTTCTCCGGCTGCCTCTCCGCCGTGCAGTTCGAGCGCGCGGCCCCGCTGAAGGCTGCGCTGCGCCCTGGGCGCCCCGCGCGCGCGTCGGTGCGGGGTCCGGTGGCGGCGTCTGACTGCGGGGCCCGAGGCGGGGACGGCGCGGCGCGGGAGCGCACGCACGTGCGAGCAGGTGGGCGCGGCGCGGGCACGGGGGCGCCTCGAGGGCCCCGCGACATAGAGACCCTGGTGTCTGTCGTTCGGGCCTAGACTCTGGCACGGGCTGCTGAAATCTCAACCTTCCGCCCCTTTGGCCAGTTGTACGAGCTGACGATTCTAAAGTTAAAACAACATAAACTCCAACTTTATGGGATGATTCCACTCTGGTTTAGCATTGTGGATTTTTCACTCACTTTCCTTTCTCCCGCTGTAGAACATTCCGGAGTGATGGATGAGGGGGAGCCCATGGCTGACGCGACCAGGGGAGACTCTGCAGTGATTGGAGGTGACTAGAGGGTGTCTTGGTGACAGCCAGGCTGGCGAGTGGGTGGAGGTTGAGACAGGGGGTCTAACTAGGTCCCTCTGCTGTGACTGACTGCCCAAAACACGGTTACCCGGAGCTCGCATTCTGCTCCCCCGCCCCAGCTGTTTCAGCTGCCCAAACTGTTCAGATGACCTCAGTTTCTTTGGACAGTAACTGAAGGTGAAGTTATTCTTGATCGTCACCAGTCTTGCCATGAAACCAACCCAGAATTGAAGAGACAGACTTCTGCGTGGCTCCTATAGTCCCAGAGGCGCCCCATGGCCCTACTGCCCCTGCCGGTATGGAGGTGACCATCACTTTACAGGCAAAGTCAGCTTCTTTCTTTACTGCAAATTACAACAGACCTCAGTGTGGAGGTTGGATGAAATCTCTCTCTCTCTCTAAAGCAAAGACCTCTAGTGAGACATCCAAATAATTATAACCTCTCTGTCGTTTTTTTCCAAGATGAGACAATGCACATCAGCCCTGGAATGCTGGCTAAGATGCAAGCTGCTCCCCTTCCTGGCAGATGCAGCAGCATGTGCTCATTGCCTTCCTTCTGCCACCGTTAGAATCCGCGTGTGCAAACGCTGTTTTGTGGGCTCAGTTTGCTGCAGGCTCTGCCCAGCCCAGCATGTGCCCACAGCACATGGGCCTAATTAGGCCAGCCAAAGCTCGGAGTCCACAGGACTCCACCACGGTTTCACGAACCACCTGCACAGGGACGGCAAGGTGTTTCCATGGTTGTTTCAGTAGCAACCGTGTTTTCTGATGTTCAGTAATGGCAGGACACGTCAACACCTGTATTAACGACCCTCAATATATATAACTGGGAAATGACATTTGACATTTGTGTACTAATTCTGCAACTTAGAGTTGACATCTAATTTCCACCGGTACAATAGCGTGAGTAAACATTTTGCTATGATATAGCTCGGTGTTTTTCAAACTTGAATGTGTGTAAGTATCGTTGAAAAGCCTTCTAAAACCATCAATTTCTCCCACCTGGAGATTTTGGTGAAATTTGTCTAATGTGTGCCAAAGTTGAGAACCACAAGCTTTGGTTTTAATCATCAAAACATTTTCAGGGGGAGACCTCAAGTCACTTGGATCCCATAAATTCCCACATTCAATACATTTCTATAATAAATTTAGTGACAGAGACCATTTTCATATTGCTAAAAGTCACTCTGCCATACCCAAGTTGTTTAAAATTAATTTCACTAAAATGCATGCAACTTAGTTTCCTTAACAAAAATACTGAAAACTTTGGGAAGGTATGATGATACATTCTATACTTTTAAAATAATTTGAACCTGTCTGCTTCCTAACACGGACAGTGCTCATGGTCTGAGGCATACGCTTATTTACTTCCGGAAGCATTAAATGAATCCCATTGTAATTTGACTATAAGGGCATAAAATAGAGCAATCCGTATGAGGTTGGTAGAACTCAAACTTTAGGATACCACCTGACGTAGAAATCCCTGAAGCTTCGATGCCCAAGCTTATAACAGAATCTGGGCTTGATGGGCGTAGAAAGTGATCTGATTTGGACCATCAGCAGTGAAGCCAGGCTAGCATGTGCTTGGATACAATGCTACCATTTGAGGTCTGATGCCGCGTTCCCTCCTCCCTCACCAGGTGTCATAGCTGTGGCGGTATTTGTCCTGCTGTGCGTCGCTGCCATAGCCATCCGCCTTTATCAGCAGAAGAACTTGTACTCAACCAAGGAGGCAAAGCCACCAGAGAACCCAGGCCACGCCCCAACCGGGCTCCGGTGCGAGCTCAGCCTGCAGAGCGCAGTCTGCGGAAACCAGAAGGAGTACTTCTTCTGAGCAGGAGCCAGGGTGGACGCAGTCTCACAGCAGGCTGCCCTTCTCCTGTGCCTGGGGCTCCCCAGGGCCAGAAGTCCCCTTTGCAAATGCAACAGTTTGAGACGCAACCGTGCGGCACAAATCCCGCCTCACAGAGGGTCTGATGGCATTATCCCTTAGCTATCGTTAGCGTCACTGCATTTTATGTCACCATGAATCAGTATCGTCATGATCCATGTTTGTTTCCAATGCTCTAATGTGCTTTTAAACTGAATTTTAGCTTGCTTAGCCGCTGGGGTTTTGAAAGGGAAACTGGCCCTCAGCCGTCTGTCCCAGTGGGACCTGAGGCTCAGCTTTACTCGCACAGGAGGCTGCGTTTTGTGATCAAAGAACTGAACATCCTTCTTGACCACGTTTGTTGAATATTCACATCTTCTGTGAGCCATAGCCACGTGGCCAAAAATAAACAGCCTTTCTGCCTTTCTCTTTGTTGGTTGATGCCAAGCAGCACTCCTCTCTCGGGGTATCATTGCTGGTTTGTTTGCATTGCTTTTATTTAATGTTTCCTTCAAATGCCCACGGTGAGTACGGATGCTTCTGGCACTACGTGCTCGTCTTCAGGGGTAGAGGTACGGCGTTCGGACGGTGCAGAGCGGACCGTACATGCTTTACTTTTTTCCTTCATCTTATGCCATCGAGGTCCGTGATTGACATTTGGCAGTGCCCTGACTAATGTTGATTTCACAAAGTTTTTTTTAATTGAAATTGAAAAGCAGATAGAACCACAAATTCTTAATACTGAAAATGTATTTTTTTGCATCTGAGATACCTGGATGATACATAATAGTAAATTTATTTCCCTAAACGCCCGGTCATTTGTCAGTGTTCTTTGTCATGGTAAATTCTTCTGTTTCTTTGCTGTTTGTTGGCTTGGCTTTTCTCCAAAGGTCTCCCCAACTTTGCTCTGCTCTCCCGAGACTGTATTCCATGGAGCTTCTTTCTCGAATATTCGAGAGCAAGTCACTTTATGACTTTTCTAAAGCTCGGACTGTTTCCAGCATAGACTCCCACGTGCATGGCCACCCAGTCGCAAAGTCCTACACGTGCTGACTCTGAGCCACAACCACGCCCCAAGCTGAGCAACCAGAATCACCCTGAAATTCATTCTCCTAGTCTCAGTTCCAGGATGCAGAGATCCATGTCTCAGAGCTCCCAAAACCGGTGGGAGCTTCTTGGGGAGCAGACCAGGAGAGCAATGGATGACAGGGGATTCCAAGGAAACTGTCTAGTCATTAATTTTGGAACCCCGATAAATGAACCCTCACGAGGAGCCTGCAATTAGGTCCCATAGAACCAGTTGACAGAAGACACGCTCCTGCCCCTGCTTGCCCTGTGCCAGAGAGCGGGGATCCTCCAGCGTGTCCACGTCAGGAAAGGGAAGAAATGCCTGGCCTCCATGTTGCTTCTCCTGTCGATCTCACATCTACTTTTTGGTGTCCTTTTCCACATCACCTCTGTCGCAATTTGTCTGTTAATAATTGCTATTCTTTTTTATATGCTAGGACTTGCTGGGGTTTTATTTTCCTGTAAATCTAAAGTTCTCAACTAATACAGTCACTTAAAGACAGATCTTGGTGAATGGTGCACACGTTTCCCCATTTGTAGCATCGAGACAGAGATGGTAAGTTGGACGATGCAGAGCTGGCTACAGACTTGGTGACCTCCAGGCCGCCTTTACAAGTGAGGGGGGCTCACTGGCACCCGATGTCTCAGGAGGACAGACGGGGGGGCTGCACGGCTCTGTTGCCCACCTCCCACCCCGAAGCCCCTCCATGCGTCCCGTGCCCTCACTGTCCTTCCCTGATTTGTAAAGTTTACCTTCTTGTTTGTTAATAAAACAAGACTTTTAAAACAAAGTGAGGGATATATTTTAAGGGAATTTATATAACATTTTACAATTATGCAATTAGAGTTTTTCAAACAGTAAAAAAGTGTAGCTGTACGCATTCTGCACTGGTGTGTGTATTTCTTTACATGTCATAGGCGGTCCTAGGATTGATATTATTTGCAAATTGGTGCTGCAGTTACCGTGGTATTTTCTTTTTAATTTTAAATGGCTCAAATAGAAAGTGGGAGGAAAATGGTAGCTATTTACAAATTGCTACAGTAGAAGTGATCTGCAATTGCAGATACTCATTGTAGACTAACCATCAGGAAACCATTGGTGGTGCCCTCAACACAGGATAAGTTGTTTGTCGTGTGCGTCTCCTTCCTAGAGCTTGGTGGGGTTGCCTGTAAGTCCTGGGGTGCTGGCTGGAAGAATTTAGCGCACTCATAAAAGTTAAAATGCAAGAATACATAACTGTTTCTCTTTTCAAATTAAAACAATATAAACACTGTATAATTGGCACTCCCTTTGAGAAGCCTGAGCTTTTCTTTCCTTAGCCGCTCCCTTTCCGGTAGGAATCAGAACACTGCATGTCACGCTGCTTACCTCTAATGGTGTCGCCTGACTCCCAGAAGCAGCGTCACGAGACGGCTGGGCCCCCCAGGGCTGGGCTCCAGTGCTGGGTCCTTGCCTGTATCTCATGCAAGATGTGAGAATCGCTTGATGGGGAAACAAAATCATTTGAATGTCTTCCACTGGGGTTGTGGCCCTTCCTGGGAGACAGAGGCACCGAGTGGAAGAGATTATGGATTTGAAAACAGCTTAGATTTTGTTTTTAATAATCTGACTTGTCAATTTACAAATGAAGAAGCCAGAACACAGGCTTGTGAATGAATTTCCCCACAGGGCTGGTGCTCACAGGCGGTGAGGTGGACAGAGTCACCAGCCTACCTCTCTCCATCACCACGTGGCCAATGCGGGTGCTTCCATCCTGTTAGTCCCAAAATGTTACTTGAAGAGAAAAACACCTGCAGGACATTATCTTATTTTTCTAAATCAATGTATAATTATACATCTGTTTCCACATCTTTTCTCATTGAACGTCAACTTTACACGATGGATCGTCGATGGGTCACTGACATACGTATATATCAGATTATTCTGAAATCTAAGCATCAGTTAGGTTTGACTGCACAGCTGAGTCATCAAATTATACTCAAGATGGAGAAGGATGGAATGGCTTTGCCGTAAATCAAAGTGTGCTTGTTGGATGCTGGATTTTATAATCCATGGACCTGCACACGTCCCCAAACATTTAAATGCTTCCTGGCTTCCTGCTTTCCCACTGGGTGATGAGGATTGTAATCATGAAAGAAGTGCAGAGTCTGTCCTTATGTCCGTGTGTTGGGGACACGCCCGTGAATAATGTGTGTGTACGTGTATGTGAGTAATATATGAGCACGTGTGTGAGTAATACTGAAAGAGTAAAGGATGGAAGAGGGGATAGTTTTAAGTGGCTAATCTACTGGAGCCCGTGGGCATTTCAAATTCTGGATCAATAAGGACAGAATTCACTGCCTTAGTTGAACAAAAATAGTACCAGTGATAGACTCTTAGCTTATGAACCACACATAAAAACAGCAGATTCTTAGCCTGCAAAAGCACGCTCATTGCCACGTCTTGTGGCGTGGGGTTTGGCAGGATGACGCCCATGTTCCTGGGACCCTGGATGCCTGCATCTTGTCTGGGATGTGGAGGTCCCTCAGAGGAGGGTCCCACTTCTCGTCCTGAGCGCTGTGGAAACCGGCTCAGGACAGGGGAACTGGGCTGTCCTTGTTCTGAATGAAGGGTTTTCTTTATCCGACATCTTCTGGGAGGCCCTTTACCCAACTCCTCCCTTTTCCATTTCCAGTTGTTTCTGTGGGATGCTCTCCATCCGCGCTGAGTCCCACCCCATGCCCTGCTGTCAGGGCCACCAGGGGCCTCTGATTCTGCAAAGTTCAGGGACCCGGGCCCCATTTGCCCTGTTTCCTGTTTGCATCTCCAGACGCTTGGTGGGCGAGCGAACCTCGTGACCCGTCTCCCTCTTCCCCTCGGCATCTCTCACAGGTGCTTGTCCCCTTTCTATTTTATTTCATCTTGCAGTTTTTTTTACCTTTGTGCATTTTTTAAAACTGAATTGCGGTCAATATAGTGGAGTTCTAAGGATAAATGGAAGTTGAAGTTTTTCTGTGTTTAGCTAAAAGTCCCCTACCTGACATTTTCTCATTTTTAAAAAGTGTAGGCTTCCTCATGTGAAATCTTGTGATGCTGTGTGCCTCCATATCTAGGAGAGTTAAAAGCATAATGTGCATCCCCCATCTTCACGTAAGTGGCAGCACTTTCTATAATGGTAGAGACTCACGCAGAGAACACGGTGGCACCTGAGCTTCTCCACGGGGTCTCCACGTGAGGAGTGAGCAGTGGCACCTGCCTCCTCCCTGTTCTTCGCTCCCAGGGGAGAGGGAAAGCTCTCAGAATGGGCGTGCTCTGTGCTAGCAGGCAGCATCAATATTGTTTTCTGTGAAATAGGAGCTATAACCATTATTCTGAACAGACACTGAATTGTTGCTGTTCATTACACTCAGCTCGTCACATTAGCAATCCAGCTAGCCGAGTCTGCAGTGATGTTGTTACACAGCAATAGATAACTGATACAGGGTGTCACGTGTGTGCACGTATTTGCAAAATTTGTATTGTACAAATGTGTTTGAAATATCCAGGGGAAAATGTGGGATTCTTTCAAAAAATAACTCAGGTCCACAAAATGCAGGGCAGTCTGCTTCAGCACCTCCTGTGAGCATCAAGGTAAGGATGTCACAGACAAGTCAGGAGACGGGGGGACATCCCAATCCTGTGTCCTGGAGGACAGTGCCCAGAGCCTGCCCCTACCATGTAGGGGGGCTGAGCAATGAAGAAGTATTTTGGAAAGTAAGATAGTCTAAGAAACAAAAAAATCTCAGAAATTTCAATGCCCTAGAATTTTCAGGACAAATTCAAAACTGTGATGCTGGGTTAATTAAACCAAAGCAATTAGCAGGAGCATAAGGATGAGAGTACAGGGCCCTGCACACAATTTAAGATGTGCCTGGACCCTGCACGCAATTTAAGACGCGCCTGGATCCTGCACACAATTTAAGACCTGCATAGACCTTGCAGACAATTTAAGACTCCCCTGGACCCTGCACACAATTAAGACCTGCATAGACCCTGCACACAATTTAAGACCTGCATAGACCCTGCACACAATTTAAGACCTGCATAGACCCTGCACACAACTTAAGACCTGCATAGACCCTGCACACAATTTAAGACGCCCCTGGACCCTGCACACAATTAAGACCTGCATAGACCCTGCACACAATTTAAGACGTGCCTGGACCCTGCACACAATTTAAGACCTGCATAGACCCTGCACACAATTTAAGACCTGCATAGACCCTGCACACAATTTAAGACCTGCATAGACCCTGCACACAATTTAAGATGTGCAAAGCATAGGAGAATAAGGAGGAAATCAGAGTTAAGTTGAATTGTTCTCAAAAGCAGCTGAAATGGGCTTGGCCCTGTGGCACAGTAGTTAAGCTCAGTGTGCGACACTTTGGTGGCCCAAGTTTGCAAGTTCAGATCCCGGGCGCAGACCTACACCACTCATCAGCCATGCCATGGTGGAGAACCACATATGAAATGGAGGAAGATTGGCATAGATGTTGGCTCCAGGCTAATCTTCCTCAAGCAAACAAAAAAAGGGGAAGATTTCCTCAGTTTAAAAAAAAAAAAAGCAGCTAAAGTCATTGAAGAACATTTTCTATGGTAATATTCTTTGATTCTTTCATTCTGTAATAGGGTTCTTCCTTGAGTAACATGCAGAACTTAAAAATCACTGAGTGGGTAAATAACGAAGTTGACTTTTGGCATTTCTGTCCCAGAAACCCAGGGTTTTGTTGTGACCACCTGTGTCCCATCAGCAGACGTCCAGGTCAAGCACAGTCCTCGTAACTGGGCGGTCAGCAGACTCTCAGTCTGAAACAAGCTGCACCCTGGTCAAGGAGGCCCGGCAAGCCTCTCCTGAACCAGGCGGCGAGAGCTCATTCCTGACTCAGCTGTGTCCACAGGGAGTGTGACCTTCCCACCCTCCCTTGAGGAATAACCCTCACGTTTCCTACAGTGTTTTGCTACCCTTTGGTTTAAGATGCTGCTTTTCCAAAAATGCAGAGGACTTGTACCCATGGGAAACTATCAGCAGAGTGTGCGTGGTTGCCAGGTAACAGGCCATCATCCCCACACCTTGTCTCAGATGCATCCCAGCAGGGACCTCGCCGAGCAGAGGGAACCAGGGCGCCTTCCCTCAGGGTTCCCTGAGCCGCTGGGCATGAGGCCAGCACGGCAGCAAAGCAACCGTCAGAGATGAAAGAGAGCTTCTCATGCTGTTTGAAAAATGAAAGTTTTTGTAATTATGCATAACATTTTATTTCCTTTCTAGTAGTACCATTTACTTTACTCTCTGAAAATTGCTACAGGTGCATGAGTCAACAGTAAACTGTCTGGGTTGTTCCTGAGGAGCCACGTAGGGTTGGCTTCAGGACTCAAAACGCATTTGCCGTAAACGTAAATTCCTCACATTATAAATTATGTAAAAGAAGAGTATCAATATGGAAAACGTGAAAAGAGTTGTTAACAGCCAAACTGCTGAAGAGGGTAAACAGGTGCCTACAAGTGCAAATCTTTAGCATAAGTATATAATATGATGCCCCCCCCTTTTTTTTTCTGCTGAGGAAGATTCGCCCTGAGCTAACATCTGTGCCAATCTTCTCTTTTTTTTTGTATGTGAGCCACCATAGCACGGCTGCCAACAAGTAGCGTAGGTCAGTGCCTGGGAACCAAACGCAGGGTGCCAAAGCAGAGCATGTTGAACTTAACCACCAGGCCATGGTGCTGGCCCCTATAATATGACACTTTTAAAAAGCGTTTCATTACTGTAAAAGTAAA